TCTGCCTCTTTTGCGCCGCAGGATGGCGGAAGCATAATAAATAAGCAAGTGTGCAAGCGGAAATATTAAGCAGTGGTCGGGGATGCAGCTTGCCACACAACCGCTGCGCCACAATGAGCAGAAAGGAACTCATTTCGCCTGTCACGACTTGAACCCCGACATTTGGCCATGCAGCCACTGCAGAAATGCACAAATCCACAAATGCACAGATCCCAGATGCTGTTGCATACTTTTGATGATGCTCCGCTTGATTGCGAAGAAAAATCGAGATGGGATCCAAGGACAGGGTGGCTCCCAGTGGATATATTCAAGACGATATAGAGGGGGCAGGAGGAGAAGCAGGCGAGACAGACAAGCGGAAGTGCTCATTGTTGCACTGCCAATGGCCTAAGCCAGAGATACTACTCATAATTCACAGGCCGCATGACGCAATGTCAACATTTTGCTTCCGCCAGGGGATGCTGGAAAAAAGAAGAGTAGGAAAAGTGTGTCCTGGCCTATGAGGAAATAAAAATGCTCTCTTTTTCTTTCTTGAATTGCTTAAGAAGCTTAAGGAATACAAAATTTAACAAAATATAACAAAATAGTTTGCATTGTTATAAAGAATATAGTATTTTATTGTTAATGAAAAGAAATGAATCAACGAATTTGCCAATAGAAAGTTGTGTTTAAAGATGTATTATACACATTCACTCAAGCAATAATAGTAGTTAAATAGGTAATGGCTCAAGTCCCCTTTTATTCCATAAGCTGCAAATATGTTTCTTGAAGAACCACCCCCATTCGCTTTCAGGCCTCCCATAGTCATGGTAATTTTATTCAAATTCTTTAAGGGTATTGACGATTCAGCAAGGGAAAAGAATAATAATGCCCGGACATTTGTTGCTGGCACTTTATGCTCCAATTAGTAGCTTCCGACAACGTCTCGGAATTCAGATTCGGATTCGGACACCGATAAGGGTACGGAAAAAGGCGGGCGTAGGGCCTTCTTTTGTGGCATTTTGTGAAAACGGAAATCAAATAATATTTTCATACTGATTTATGAATCTATTTGCACAGGCTACACAACGGGCCACCGGTTCTGGCCATTTGCATGTGATTCATGCTCTGAAAACCATGAATGATTATATTTGCCAGCCCCGGCTGTGAAATCCAAGACTCTCCGGGCACAAATATAAATGACTTTGGTTTGGTTAGGCCGCTGGCCAGGAGTTTATAACTAGCATCAGATTATGAGGCGGACTTCAGGGCCCCCGGGGACCAATCCCCTGCTCTCTTTCCTTTTCCCCCTGAGGTCCTTCCCATCGCCAAGAAATCCTTTTTCGGTTTCAATATTTATTTGTGGCCTCAGCTGGCATTTCTCAGGCCATGCAAATTGTTTTCTAGCCCGACATTAAGTTGTCAAGCCCCGGACTGCCAGGGATTGTGAGAGCTCGACTCTCAAAGTTTGCTTACAGATTGCATTTATTGATGTCCCCCATCTCCATCACCGACTTCGAGCAGTTTAAGTGCATTAAATGAGTGGCGAACTTGTATTTTTCTTTAATTTAATAACCGCTTGCTTGGCTAAATAAATTATTCTTTATTGATCTGATAAATATCTATAGTATGTGGCTTTGCAAATGAGAAATTAAAATTTAATCTTCCAATAACAGGGTATGAATTAATGCTTCTGGTCAGGCGAGAATTTTCTGGCTCAGTTTATTTAGCAAAATAAATATTGAACAAAATTGGAATTGGTTTGGGAATTTATTATTTGTGATATTTGTCCAATAAAAGGAGTCGCTCCACTGGCAAAGAGCTGAAATTGGTCAGCATAATGAAAGCAATTGTGAATCCTTACACTTCAGGTAACTCAATAAAAAATCCTTTATTAATTTCAGCTCTATGACCCCACTCAGGATCCATGTTTTCCACCTCAGCCACTGGCAAATCAAACAAGTTTCAAGTTAGTAACTGTTTGCAAATATTTATGTGAATGCACGCCCGGGGAAATGTCACCGACACGTGTAGAAAAGAGCAGATTCTGGATCAGACACGGAGCAGTAAAAGTGCAAAATGAACCGGGCTGAAGGATGGAGCAGTTGCAGGGGCAAGTGAAAAGTGAAATGTTAGGCCAGGGGAGTGTGGGGCGGGGGCAAAGAGCTAGTGAAATACAACTGCATTCCACACACTAACTGTCGCTATTTGTTATTGCTTTTTAGAAGCTCCTCCTCAGACCAAATTCGAGCCACCGAGTCGAGTGGCAAGTTGAGACGCCTCATCGTACACAGAAAACATATATTATTTTTTAAAAATATACTATTTTGATACCCAACACATATTGGCAGAATTTCGAGCAGTGGTTGCCTTCAATTTTATGGTTATACATTTAGAATACCGTTTCCTATTAGTTGGTCACAGTAAGAATTCAAGAAAATCTCAATTAATAAGAGATTCCCCTAAATGATATGTATAAAAGTTTCTATCAAAAATGTATTGTAGTTTTATAAGAATTATATGTTTTTGTTATAAAATCGTATACCATAAATACTAATACACAAGATGGGTAATAAAAACACAAGATAATACCTTTGTGTGACATTAAATTACTATTTACTTTTTTAAGTTACAGGTCTTGAATATAACAAAATATGATAGTTATGCAAACTATTTCAATATAGTTTGTCGCTGTGCATCAATCCATGCACATTGCATACAATACGAGTAGTAGCAAGAGCCCCAGCACGTGTCGGGACTTAGAAGGAATCTTTCTGCCCCCGATGTCCTGCAGCCATGGCAACTCTCTCAATTGTTGTCCGGTTCATGTATGCTCCAGTGCCCCACATCACCCACATCACCCCCCGAACCCCCCGCATAAACAATCGCATTTATGTGAATTTTATTTTGATTTTCTCTGCCACGCAGAAAAAAGGACAAAACAGCTGATAGAAACTTTTAGGAATCGCCAGTAAATTCATGCAAAGGAGCTTGCCGAGCAGAGATTTTAATTTCAAAATGAAAACTTATAGGAAAAGAGGATTTTAAATGCAGTAGAGCTTATTTAATTGTAGGCAGGAGAAAATAAATTCAACTCCGCTTTTGAAAGGGAATTGTAAAGTAAAGGATGCGAAAAAACGGGAAATATAGTGGGTAGATCTTTTAAATCTTTTGAGCACAGGTAAATATCTACAGTATTTAAAAATATATAATTTGCAGACGAAAAATAAGCGAGAGAAACTTTGGGGAATCGAAAGTAAATTCAGGCAAAGAGTTTCCTTAAAAGTCGTTTTAATTTGAAATTTATACGAAAAGGACTAACTTAAGTTGTGGGCAATAACAAACGAAATCTTTAAGAGCATGGATAAAAATGTTGTAATGTTTTGGAAGCTTGTATAAAAAAGAATGAATATATATTTGATTTAGGAAAGGTAAAATACTAAACCTGCAAACTGGTAAAGGTAAATCATTTCTTCTTTAAAATCAAACAAACCATATTCCATAAGTTTTATTAGTGTTTGCTGTCTTGTTTTTCGGACCAGTTGATGAAGATATATACCCAACGAATTCTTTATCATTTAGAATGCGATTTCGGTCGGCGGCGGACAGGACAATAAATACTAATAGCCAAAATAGCCGGCAACACATAAACCATAGCCGAGAAAAGTAATTCCCACTAGAAGGACGAGTAATAATCAACATCAAATTGCCTCGTTTCGAGTTCCAGTTCCAATTTGGGGCTTCTTTTTTTATTTTCGGCCTCTCCGTTTCGGTTTCGGTTTCATTTTCGGTTCCAGTGCAAAGACTCACTCAAGTTCATTTATTTTTATTGTTTTCGGAGCTTTTGGCGACAATTTATGGGCCAGCGGAATACAAAGATATTTATGTTGGTCGGTCTTGTACGTATAAAATGGCGAAACTTATGTATATGGCCAGCCGGAACTTTATTTTATTTATATTATATTTTTATACATATATAAAATTTTTCAATGGAAAGTGCAAGCGGAGAAAACAGAGTAGGGGGCAAAAGAAAAGCGGAAAAATCTACGCAGTACGTAGAGCATTCAATGAGAGCGAAGAAGGAATAATTTACTTTCCTTTTCCCGACTAAGCATCCAGCATTCTATCTTATTTTGCACTAAATTTTAACAGGATTTAGCCCCGTCGCTCTTTGCTGTCAACTGCTAACAAGCGGCAAAGACGACGGAGGTTTTGACCAGCCGAGCGATTCAAGCCAGGCCAAAGTCGTTGGCGAAGGGGGGTCCACTCAGGGGGAGGGGGCTAGGTGGGCGAAGTGGGCGTGGCATCGTGTCCATGGCGAATGAGTTTTGTCGCAAATCCGCTTACGTCCACACCGCCGCAACGAAAATGGTGATGGCGCTTCTGACTGAGATGACGACGACGACAGCCACGATGATGACGATGATGATGATGGGCAACGGCCTTCAGTCCACCCCACTGTCACTGCCACTCCCACTCCCACTCCCATTGCCACCCCCTCCTCGTTGTAGCCATTTTAACTGGCACATAAATAAATTCCATAAATCTTTTGCACTTTAACGCTTCTGCTTTAAGCCAAGTCAACTCTGGGCTCAGATCCGATATGGGTTTGTGGGTTGGGGATACAGGAATAGAGGATTATCCTCGCACATGAAAAAACAGTTATAAGCCTGAAAATATGTTCCACATGCAGAAAACTAACTGCTTTGTGTGGTCAATCAGTTGGATAACAAACATTTTTATTCACTTTCTCTAAAATGTATTGGAATTCAAATTATGAAGCAAACATTTTTGACAAACCATGTATCCAATTAAATCTGAAAACAATAATGAATTATCTCTTTTAAGCTCAACAGAAACTTCTAAAAAAACCAAATACTTTCTTGAGATATTTTATATATGATTTCAACCCTCTTATTACAATAAAAGATATGTTATCTTTTAAATAAATAAAGTTTACAGATATTATAAAATGATGTTATCAAAGTAGTCCTTGTCAAAACGTTTATACAAATAAAATGTTATACAATCAACAAATTACTGTACTTTTACATTTAGGAAATTAAACACAATGGCGGGCATAACCAATAAAGAAATAGACCGCATTATAGAAGAGCTTACGTCTTTAGACTTAGGATATTGTACATTCGATGAGGAGCTAATCGAGGGACTCATCCAGAAGACCTGTTCTGTGATCACGAGGCAACCGATGCTCCTTGAGTTGAATGCTCCTGTCAAAATCTGCGGAGATATCCACGGCCAGTTTACGGATCTCTTGCGCATTTTCCGGGCATGCGGATTTCCGCCGAAATCGAACTATTTGTTTCTCGGCGATTACGTGGACCGGGGAAAGCGATCACTGGAGACGATCTGCCTGCTGTTCGCCTACAAGGTTAAGTATCCCCAGAATTTCTTTCTGCTCCGCGGAAATCACGAGTGCGCCGGCATAAGTCGCATTTACGGATTCTTTGATGAGGTGAAACGCAGGCACACAGTGCGCTTGTGGCAAAGTTTCACGGATTGCTTCAACTGGCTGCCAGTGGCGGCAGTTGTGGGTGAAAGGATCTTCTGCTGCCACGGAGGATTGAGTCCCTATTTGCGAAGATTAAAGGAGATCCAGTTGCTCCGGCGGCCTACGGACATTCCGGACGAGGGCATCCTGTGTGACCTCCTCTGGGCGGATCTTAATCACCTCTCCGACGGTTGGGGTCACAATGACCGTGGTGTGAGCTTCACCTTCGATGAAACCATTGTGCGGGGTTTCCTAAAGGCCCACGACTTGGACCTGATGGTCCGTGCCCACGAGGTGGTGGAGGATGGGTACGAGTTCTTTGCCAACCGCCACCTGGTCACCATCTTCTCCGCCCCCAACTACTGCGGTCAGATGAACAATGCCGGCGGCGTGATGAGCGTCGGCGAGGACCTGATCTGCTCTTTCGTCATCATTGAACCATGCCATAAATACGAAGTTTCTGCCACAGATTCAAAGGTCACGTTTAATCCAGCGAGAGAATGAAATGTTTTTCATAGATCCTGTAATAAAATAAATAACTTCTAAGTGGATCGGACGACTGTATCATATAGCTGCCATAGGAACGATCGACAAATGTATCGGAAGTTATTTTTTTGTAAATTTCCGATGACTTGTAAAAGGGTGATCCAAAATTGGATTTCTAGAGTCCATAACTTTACCAAATTTAATCCGATTCCAAAGTGGCATACCTCTTAAGACTTGTGTTTTAATTCTCTAAAAATCTGCATTCAAATTTGTCATTTTAACGTTGATCAAATTTTTGACCCATTTTCATGTTAGTTTTTACTGAGTTTTCGATGACTTAAAAAAAGGGGTCCCATAATTGGACTTCTAGATTCCATAACTTTACCAAATTTAATCCGATTCTAAAGTGGCATACCTATAAACACTTGTGGTTTGATTCTGCATTCAAATTATTCATCTTAGTTAAATATAGAATTTATAATTTATGAAAGAGCTACAAGTGTATATAAACTTAGGCTTGCCTACGTTTGCTTCCTTTTTAGTTTATCCTGATTTTTTCCAAAAATGTATTAATGTATCATTGTCTGTATTGCCAATCGAGTGGCAATTTTATTATGAGCCGGGCGAGGTGTTAGATTCATTATTAATTCATTATATTTCATTGTTTGGTCGAAAATACGGTAATTACTGTCTTTTACTGTTTCCACTTATGCACCTTTACTTTAAATCACTATTTACTACTAATATTATCATATTATATCAGGTGAAAGAAAACCAAAACAATTTAAGGAACATTCTCACATGTATCTTATTTTAATATTTACTTATATCGAATTCCGTTTTGCCTTGAAGGTCGAAGGTGAGATTTTCCTGATTACATCCCTTTCTGTTTATTGGCCCACTGTCATGGTCACCAGTTGGGTGGACAGGTGACTTCAACACGCTTGTTTCGCCATTTCATTTGCAGCTCGTTGCTTGTCTGTTTGGTCAAATGAATTTTGCATGGCTCTTAACTTGGCCGACTCGACTGTCTGCCAGATTGTGAGGCTGATGTTGATGCTGATGCTGATTCTGATGCTGATTTGCTGATGAGGAGGCATTCTGTAGCTTAACCTTAAGGATTCGCTGGTCCTCCTGTATGGGCCAACATTTATTTGAACTGGCAAAAGTCACAAGGCAAACATCAGAGACTGTGTGCATGTGGAACTTGGACTTGGACCGACTGCTCAGTGTTGCATACGAAAGAATCTCCGTCTGGCTACCGCACGCTCGAATAATTTAATACGCCCCTCCATTCCCCCTCCCCCCTGCTCGTCCTGGATCCAGGATCCTTGGCATTTGGGATGCACACAGCGTGCCATTTGACTGCAATTTAATGCTCTCTCCCGTACAGTTTACTTGTCCTGTTCCAACTGCTGCCATTTCATGTTTTGCAAAATGACAAATCACATTTATTTATTTTGTGTAAGCCAGCTAAGCTTAAATATGCTGTCCTGTGACAGTTGGATTCAGCTGAGAACTGGCAGTGCAGCCAGTTTTTGGGTTGGCAATCTGAAGGGTTAAGTCGCAGCCATAATCGAATCTGGAGGAGCAGTTTTTGGCATGCCCAGGGTGGAACCCCACTGAGAAATTGGCCCAAGTGACACAGTGTCAGTGGATGCGTTTATCAGCTACAGAATGAGCTGCAAGTGAATTAAGGCTACTTTTAGGGGGCATGGACTCACATGCAACATACATAATTAGTTTCGAATTTTATAGTTTGGTTTTTTTCCATTTTAAAATGATTTTAAAGCTTATATTTACTTTAAGTTATATCTAAATGATTAAAACAATCATTTTCACATTTGCTTAATATTTCCCAAGGTGTTACTTAATGTAAATAGAGACTTCGGCTTACGGAGACAATATTGAGTCTCTTGCTGAGCCTGACCAAAGTCAATTTGAACCGCAATAGCAAATCAGTGGAAGTGGTTTAATACCTGCCACCGAAACTAGGTCAACCCCTTGGGTGTCAACCACTTGAGAGGTGGGATGAGCTGCTCCGAGAAGACCACAATCTTGGCATTGGCATTGGAGCTCTGGACTGTGGACTTGGTCCCTTAATTAGCAAACAACTGCTGGATTGCAGATGCCGTGGGGCAGATGACAAATGACTGGAAAGATAGCGACTGGCAGAAGAAACACCCTTTAATGACTGATTGGGGGGACAGTTTAATTAAGGAAATGTCCACTAATGACAACTAATGGCCCCGAAGTCTCCGCCGATCGCATCACCATCACCTCAGAAATCCTCAGAAATATTAGTTGTAAACATGGAACCTGGGATGCCGGACCATGATCAATTTTCATTTGCAACGCCCCCCAAAAAGTGGGCAAAATAAGGAAAAAAAGCTGGGAACACCGCTCGCACAGCTCGACTCAATCAAGTTAATGGCGGCCAAATGGGTTTTTGATGCGCTGGCCGCGCAGCTCCATAAAAAATGATTGCCAGGCCTCGTCTTCCGTTTTTGGCCAGGACCAAAGTTGGCTTAATGAAAACGCGTGGACATTGCCGTTTAATGCCGCCCGTAGTGTGTGTGTGTGTGTGTGGGTGTGTGTGTAACCGAGGTGGCATAAAATGTTGCCAACTTGGCTTAGCCAGACAGATAGCCTGCCGCGAAGTGGGCGTGCCAACTTTCTTATTGACAATTTGAGCATTCGGGCGTTAAATTCTTATGAGGCATAAGTTGCCCCGGTCCAGGCCATAGTTAATAACATCACTTCATAAGGTGTGTCCACGTGGATGGGATGGCTTTTCCGCTCTTCCTCGGCATTCTTGTGTTTTTTCCCACCGCTTGTTCTGGCCCTTGTTTTTCACATTTTTCGCCCTGTTTTTGCCCTGCGCGTGTTGCTGAGTTTGTTTTTGTGCTCTTGGAAAGGGTTTAAAAATTTCCTGGAGGGGTTTGACAAATTACATTAATATTTCTTGGAAACTGTTTACAATAAATGTGCCTTAACCGCAGTTTTAATTGATTATTATCTTCTGTTATTTTAAGATAAGTTGATTAAAGTGTATAGTTTCATATTTTGTCTTACTGAGCTTTTTACTATAAAAAAGGTGAATCATATTATTATTATACAAGAAACATTGTATTTTGGAAACACAACGAAAAATTATAGTAAGTTCTAGTTAAAAGACTTAAAAAAAAAGTTCCAATGAAATAAAAGTGGTATATCAAAGTTAAGTTTTTAATATATCTCAGCAGTACTTTTATGAGTAGTCCCTTAATTTTATGTATATAATATTATTCCAATATAATAATATTATTTTTTAAGGCCAAGCTCAATTCGCTTCAAAATTTATTAGAGTATTTACTGAGTCGACTTGTCGTACTTTTCGGATTGCCCGCTTTTTCTTTCCTTTCTTTTATTCGCGTAAGCCGTATCCCCTGATCCGTCAGAAACTCTAATCAAATTAATGGAATAACTGAACGCTTATGTGTGCTTTACCACCCCTCACCACTTTTTTGCCCTTTTTTTCCCCATTTATGTTTCGACTTTTTTCGACCCAATCTCCTCACTGGCTGCTCTAATAAACTTGACTTCCGGCAGGGAAATTGCGCGGCCAACTTCACGAATGGCCGGAAAGTTGTTTCATTCCGTTCCTTGGCACTCGATAATGCTAATTTCGCATTCCGATTTTAATTCAATTACTTGGTTTGGGGAAAACTCGTCGGAGGAAATCCCATTGGCTCCGCATTTGGCTTAAACCGCAGCGAAGAGATTTTAATTAATTGCATAATCACTCAAATAAAACCACAAGGCCCCGAGCCCTCGTTGGCTTTTCCCCGGAAAAACTTGTAAGTGAAACGCAAAGAAACAATCAAAATTCCAAAAGTCACCAAAGCCTCCCCATTTCCCCCCAGCAGAGTCGCCATTGTACAAGTGTTTTTAATATTTAATTGCTTTTTAAATGAGTCAAAGTATTTTATTGTATTTTATTTGATGATGTAAATGCTACTAACAGCACGTCCAGAAGTGGGTGCGCAGTACTGAAGAGCCAACCACAGCGGGCGAGGAGTTTCCTCCGCTCTGGTCGCAACTTTTGCAAATTATTCAAAGCGATGGGGGTGGGTAGCGGGGGGAGGGGGGGGTTGAGAGAAAGAAAAGTGGAAATGGAAAGTGTGGTGGTGGAAAAGGAGGGAACGCCTGGAGCCACGGCAGCGACAAGTAATGGCCCAAGTGGCAATTTATCAATTAAAATTCTGCTTAACTACAAGGATGCCCAGGAAACGAACTCAGACTCGCAGCCAAAAAAAGACGAGAATAAGTCACAACAAGCTCTGCAAAGGCTGGAGTGTTTTCCCCTCACTTTCCCCCAATTTTCTGACCAGCTGGGATGACATTGGTACTTAGGGTACCACCCCCCGGGGAAAGTCCCCCCCTTCTTCAATGCATCTCGGACACTTTCAGTGTCATTTGCCGCGTGTTTGTTTCCTTGCCAACGAACCGTTCCATCTGCCAACAAGTGGAGTGCTAATTAAAGTCCCATAGTCCGCTATATAGTAAATAAATCTTTGAACTGAATTAGATATAAATTGCAGCGCCGTGAGGGTTGGGCAAGCACTGTAACGAAAGGAGCTTAATTAAATCGGAGCGGGTGACAAAGTGCTGGGGATTACGCATCTTCTAATTGAATTCCGTTCGAGCAGATGCGAGTTTCCATTCCAGGAGATATCCTTGAATTCCGATAGTGTTTGTTGAACTGCAAGGATTACAATAATGTTTGTTTCACAACAGCCCTTGATAAGCAGCTTGCACCAAAGGTATTTTCCATTGACACCTTTAAATGCCACATTTTAGAAATGTACGTTACCAGGGCGATCTGAAAAGGTTTTTGCTATTGGAATTTACCAGCATTGTCAATTTATTTTAGGTTTGTAGACACAAAAGGGAAATTATTAACTCGACTTCGAACTTATTTATTGTTATTAGGAATGGACATGAATATGATGTCTTTATTGTCCACTGAAGACTTGTCTTTGCTTTCCTGAACCTTTAAGTTAAATACAGGTAAGTTTGATGA